TATACATGAATATATGACTGGCATGAAACCCTAAATACTTGTATGGAAGTAGTGAAACTCTAGAAACCTTAGATTACTGTCGGTAGCAACACATGAGAGGAAAATGTATGCGAGGCGAATCCATTGTGTATGATAGCCTCTTGAGAACAAATCAGTGGACAAGACACGACTCAGACCACCACTCTCGCCTTATACATTTATCGCGGTAGAGTTTTCAGTCGGTCTCTGGTTGTTTCGTTCTGTCTATACCTTCCCCCCATCATTCGCCCAGCACACTCTATCCCTGTAAACGCACATCTGTTGTGGTTCAACCTGAAATCGGCACAGTTGCCAGCTGGCATAGGGTTTCCAAAAACCCTAAAACCGAATATAACCCCTCTCAGACCACCGCCTTCTTCCGATAGGCCGAAGTGTACCTTTCGCGTGACCCTCGGCTGTAGCTGCCATCCTTTGTCTTGCGCTGCGTCTTCCGCAGTCTCTCCGCCTCACACGCCATACACTCCTTCCCCTCCACCCACGGCGTGTGCTTGAGCGCACTCACTTTGCGCGCCACCGCTTTGAGTTCTGGATAAAGCTCTAAGTCCGTTAAATCCGGTGTGCCGGGTGTGTTAGGCGTTCTAGTGGTAAACCGCCTGCCATCCCGTACACCGCTGCTCTTCATACTGAGGCCGCTGGAGGGTCTACTAGACGTGTCTCGACTGGAGGTGCGCGTAGACGTCTTGTGCCGTATCCCTGTGGCTGTGGCTGTGGCTGTGGCTGTGCTTGTACCCATGCCTGGCGCACCCTCCTCATGTGTATGTGCGTGTGTCTGTGTGTGCGTGTGCGTGTGCATGTGCGTGTGGCGGCTGCTGCGTGGTGACTTGCGCGTGGTGGGCGGGCTCTCCCGGTCCACACTCTCACTGTACAGCTTCGTCTGACTGCTGCCCTGCCCCTTCCCAGCATTCCCAGTGCCCCCCCCCCACGTGCACACTACTACGCACCTGCGACGGACTGGCGGTTCCTTTTCCCGCCGGAGTGGTGCCCTTGCTGCGTGCAGACCCCATCCGCACCGTCACCTGTTGACGTGACTTGAGGACTACCGGCTGCCGGCCACTGACGCTGGTGACGTCACCCATGATACTCATGCTGTCGTCTATCGTCCAATCAAATTCCGCGCTGGCGCCCCCCCCACTGAGCCCTGCTGAGTCCGTGTCTAGTTCGGACGTGTCGTAGCCACCGCTTCGACTGTCTCGCGTGACGCGGCGCATGACCGCAATCTTCGAGCCGGTGCGGCTGCCACCGCTCGCCACACCCTGGCCACTCACAGGCAAGCTCGTCTCTGAGCTCGGCTGGGTGAGTACGCCTGCATTCGCATTCACACTGATACTGATACTGTTGTTGTTGCTATTACTATTATTGTTGTTGTAGTTGCTGTTGTTGCTGTACGCGTGTGCTCCCATGCCCCTATTGGCACTGACCACCACCTGTCTGGGTGACCGTGCCACCAGTCGTGCGGGTGTGGCCTGTCCGCCGGGTGTAGCGGGACGTTCCTGCATCTCCAGCTCCAACACTTCGCTCTCCCCACACGGCTGGAGTTGGCTAGGCGTGTGTGCGTACATGGGTGTGTACCGATGACTCTCGTCGTCATGGCAACCGGGGTCCCCACCCAACTCCTCTGCGGTCGAGCCCGACTGAGAGTGGGTTGTGAGGCTGTTGCGGCTGGCATCTCGTGATATGATCAGACCTTCCACACTATCCAGACTGTTCGAGCCTACCGCCTGTGATGGTGACGGCAGTGCTCGTGTCTGTGTCTGTTTCTGTGTCTGTGTTTGTGTCTGTGTCTGTGTCTGTGTCTGTGGCTGTGGCTGGGCTGAGCGCGGTGGCCTTGGCTGTGGTTCCGGGGCGTGCTCAGAGACACCTCCTCGAGTCGACACCTCAGCGTGCACGCGTCGCATGCGGTAGTGCGGGGGAGTGACCGACGCCATTCTGTTCCTGCTCACCCCCCCACTCGACACTACCGTACTGTCGCCACCTGCGCCACGCACACTCCCCTCCGGCCCTTTCACCTGAGACCCCTTTCTCACACTCACAGTCGTACTATCGGAGCCTTCGCCACGTACGCTGTGGCTGTGGCCCAATTCAGTCGTCTCGGCAGTCCGTTGCCTGCGTGGGCGTCTCACATTGGTGGCGTCGGTGTCACCTGTCCTCGAGGATGATGTGCCGGTGTCGCTCACCTTAGCAACCACACGTGTAGGTATGGCGCCCCTAGCAACCTTCTCCTTCAGCGACGGTGTCTTTGCCCGCGGTATCAGCCTCTCCGCAATCTCCGGATCCATCGCATGCACATTGATATCCGCCAGATCATCTACAGACTCCAGTGCACCCGTCCCCACCCCACCCCCCAGCAACTCCTCTAAGTCCATGCTATGTACACTGCTGCGCACACTGGGGGTGTCTATCACACTCTCCGTATCCGTGAGCGCCGCCGCTGCCACGTGCAGCGCCAGAGTGTCCATGCCGTCTGTGAGGCCGTAAATACACGTGTTGTCGGCGGGGGTGTTGGGTGTCTCGGGCGGGTCTGTTGTGATCATGTCCAGGGGTGGGGCCTGCACAATCAGAGGTGTGCTGAGGCGCTGGGTGGTGCTGGTTGCTGAGTGCGTGCTTCTGGTGTCTTCGTCAGAGCCTTTCGTCTCCGCTGCGTAGTCGTTCTTGGCCACACTGAAATCCGTCGCAACGCCCTCACACACCCCTGCACCACTCCCATCGGTGAGATCTGTCCCTGCACCTGCACCTGCACCTGCACCTGGTTGGGTGTACTTGGAGTACTTGCCCCGCTCATCGGCCCTCAGCACCTCAATCTCTTTCTGGGCCGCGACTATAGCGTCGTCCAGACTGACGGTGTCAATACCGACACGTGTATGACTGTCTCCATCACCGCCATCCCCCACATCTCGTGTGTGTCTTGCACGGTCGCGTCTGGGACTGGTGGTAGCCATGGCGTTATTTGGCGTGACAGAGTTGGCGTTATTTGGCGTGACAGAGTTGGCGTTATTTGGCGTGACAGAGTTGGCGTTATTTGGCGTGACAGAGTTGGCGTTATTTGGCGTGACAGAGTTGGCGTTATTTGGCGCTCTAGGGTTCGTGGTGCTATTCCGCGCGGGTTGCTGGCTCGGTGTGTTTGGCTTGGCAGTGGCCCCTCTCACCGCGCTGCCTCCCACGCCCGCTGCCTGGGCCTCGGCTCTGTTGGTACTGACAGACATTGCTTTGATGGTTCGTTCGTTGGCGTTGGCTGAGTTGGGCCGTCGCTTGCGTATGCGCACGGCACCTCCACTGGCTTTCCTCTCACCACTGTCAGTGTGCATGGTCTCTGATATGGCATCCCCACTCTTTTTCCGAGTCACGGGTACACCTGCACCTGCACCTGCACCTGTCTTTGTGTGGGACAGGTCATTTCTGTCCCCCGACCCTCGGCGTGATGGGATCTGCTTGTTGTTCTTCGCAATCAGCGCGTGTACACTCGCAGGCGATGCTGTGCCGTACAGGTGCGGGCTGCCTGGCTTGTACATGCCCTGTGCCCGTGACTGTGGCTGTGGCTGTGGCTGTGGCTGGTGTGTCTCCCGTGTGTGTGCATATCTCTCCTCGTGTGTGCGCTTGTCCCTCTCTGTCCTCCCCCCCCCCACTGCCTGAAGTGTTGGCCCTCACCAGCTGTCTCTTCCCACTGACTGACGCCCCCCCAGCCGCGGGCTTGGTGTTGGTATCGCCATAGCTCTCTGTGTGCTTGTACCGTACCCGTCCTTTGCTTCGCCTGTGGGGTTCCTCCTGCCCACTTCCGTGCTCAGGTACAGTGCCACTGTGTGTGTACGTAGCGTGAGTCGGTGTGTCTGGGTTCGCGTCGCTGACATCCTTGGGCTCACTTTCTGCCAAGGCCAGCTGCTGCGTGGTATACGCCTGCTCTGCTGATACATCAGCCGATGTCTGTGGCGACAGAAGCCCATGCACGGCCAAAGAGGACCGTGCCACAGGTGGAGGTAGGGGCAAGGGCGGGGGGAGGACGTTCCCGGCGGCATTGAAGTGCAGCACAATCAGACTGACATCCTCGTCCGTGTGGTGCGCCCCGACTATGCGACGGGCCATGTGCTCAGCTATCATGCTAGGGTCTTGGCTGCCCAGACGTTGGTTGCGCAGATCCTCCCCTAACTCATCCACACTCATGACCTCAAACACACTGGCACACCCCAATGTGATGTAGACGTCTGTGGCGCTGGTGCGGGTGTCGAACACGGCCACCTCGGGAATACAGGACAGCCCACGGTACTTCTGTTTGAACTTGGGATTGCCTATGCACCGAGTGCGCGTGAATAGTCCTGCTAGTTTGTCTTCGGCGAAGTACCCTCCCGCCTGGGAAGGTAGACGTAGAGAGGTAGGTGTAAGGACGAAAAAAGTGGGTATAAGGACGGTAGAAGTGGGTATAAGAACGGTAGAAGTGGGTACAGAACTAGTGAAAGAAAATTGGTACACGCGCACGTTGTTGGATTGTGCAAAGGGGTTGCTAACGATGGGCGTATATATTCGCACACGATACACATACACACACCTTCAAAGAAAACAATGAATGAGCTGCTCAGTATATATTCAGTTTAGCGTATGAGCCATCCGGCCACAGGTGATGTGAACACGGCCACAACAACCCCCATAACATCTCTCTTATTCATTCAAATGCCAATACCAACAGTCTCTAGACACCCGTACTCCCACGCCCGTGCACACACCTCTCTGACGACTCTGTCACGTTCATCTGGACTGTCGGCGGTGTGTGCTGCGTTCAGCAGTTTACTGACGGGGGCAAACGAATCATTGGAGAACAGAGACGCCTTGAGATCACTCAGAAAGCCCTTTGACTTGGGCTTGGTCTGTGAGTCGTGTTCTTTTTCTTTGCTCTTGCGGAAAGCGGTCCAGAGTGCCTGTGTGGAGCGGTTGCCATGACGACGGATAAGTGATCAACACATCGCGAACGGGTAGTGTGTCGATGAGACCTAAACCCTTGAATCCCAAACCTCTAAAACCTAAGACTTCTAAGACCAAGTGTGCTTCATTCTAGAGCAGACAGAATGGGTCAGTTTAGATATTAACTGGGCTGTACACACACACAGAAATACTTGTACAAACGAATCTAAGAGACGCCAACTAAGCATGTGCACAAAACCCTGAACCCTTAAAACCCTAAAACAATGTGCACGAAACCCTAAAACACTCGGAAACAACCACGAGCTCCGGTACTACCAAAGGCTCTCTGTACTCGACAAACGTATGCAGTACAACATGACTAGATGAAATGCAGTAATATTCTCTATACTTAAGCGAAGATGCCACATGGACTGTATAACCAATACACACACACAGAGGCCAGACAGATAAGTAAACAATACTCCTTCAGTCAAAGAGTATCATGGGCAACTCATGCACACCGCTACCGAATGCACACGCAGTGATATCCTCTGTTGTTCAGCGGAGATACCACACGGACTGTATAGCCAATACACACACACAGTGACCAGAAGGATTACGAAACAATACAACTACAGCCAATGGCTATAGTGATAGTGGACGTGTTGTTCTTTGGGGTCCATGAGGAAACGTGGTATAGACAAAGTGCCAGGGGTTTGTACTTCAAAGGAAAACTAAAAAGATGGACAGGTGATCAAACTCAGAGGATCTCTCGTAGAAATATGAATGTTGGAAAACGTACAACTTCGGAACGGAATACATACATCTGAAGACGCATGTTATTTTGAAACTATGAAAGAAGTACGTACATAAACCTGAATATAGTACATGAAACATATGCAAGAGCAATTCGATGTAT